AGAAGACACATCAAGAAATACATCAAAAGCATCCAAGGTACTTACTAAATCCAACCATTTTATCAGGCACTTTGAACTCTTCTGTTATTACAGCCCTAAAAAAAGAAAAAAAAGGAAGATAAAAAAAAATCAAATACTTATTACAAGGAACAATTTGGAAGACAACTATGTCCATGCCATGGAAACCAGGCACAGCATTACGCTTTTGCACACACAAGTAAACACTACATCACAAAATCATTTGTTTTAGAATAGACCTCTCGTGATCACCTAATTTCTCCTACGCTGGATACATTTCCAGTCTACTCTCCATTATCTTCAAGGGAACTGACAGAAAAACCTCTTTTTGTCATTCTTGCTCCAGACAGATTTAACGGACTAATGACAAAGTTTCTTTAATATTTGGTTTAGACCTTAGAAGCCACAGTCTTTGCTTACTACTTTTGGATATGCTCTTGCCAAGAGACACTCACCAAAGCCAATCCTGATATGAATGTCCCCTCCGATATTCACAGATCTTTTTCTTTTGCCTGCTTGTCCTTATCATTCTTTTCCTTGGAATTTATAAAAGCTGTCTTCAATTATCCTTTGAAGACTTATTACCTCGAGACTTCCATATCTATTGCTCTTTGGACTTTTTCAATGTGTCTCTGCCTCAAAACATAGCACCCAAAGCAATTTCCTAAGACCTGACCGTAGTCAAGTAGAAAGGAATTACCTTGGATGGTTTTTTGCTTCGCCATTTCTCTCTCGTAGAAAATACAACACAATGAATATGGAATTTGCAAACTCCATATATTCAGATAGGCATTATATACAATTCGTTCAGCAATCTCAAAAGCAATGAAACACCTGCATAATAAGTTCAATGCAGGTTTTGTGGTGAGGTATATTAAAATCTTCCTATTTTTTGGCTTTAGATCAGCTAGGGAAGGTATGAAATACACATTAGACTTTGCCAGCTAACCTGCAGATAAAGTACTCTCCACTGTCCTGAGGCTCACCAGCAGAGATGCAAAACCAAACGGTGCCATCCATACCCACAACAGAGAGGTTCAGAATTACCGTCTTTTTAACCTGGAATAAACCCAGTCTGTTGCCAAAACGTCCTATCCTGCATCCTTTGTTAACCACCCTGTGCCGGAGGAACAGTTGCAGCTGGACAAAGAAGCTAACCTAGCAGAAAACCAACCACCAAACCCAGAGAGAAACCATTTCAGGCTTTTCAGCCTCTTCAATTCCCTACGCAAACATCACTCCTGCAGAAGAGGGGTGGCAGGTAGCAGCAGAGCAGACAACGCTGCCCACCCTTCTCTCTGCTGCCCTAGCTGGACGTTAGCTTTAACCTAACCATTAAAAATTGAAGGTTTTTACGTATATCGCTTATCCTTTCTGCTGAGGCCCTTAACAAATAGCTGGTTATGAGGGCAATGCACTACTATTAGCTCGAAGGTGAATCCAGCTTTAGAAATGCTCTCCCCTTCCTACTCAAAACAAGACAGTCAATTCCTTAAGAGCAGGATTTGAGGAAAACTGAGAATTTCACTTTTGTTTTAGATGCTAAGGCGTGCTGCACAACAACTCATACTTGCTTCAGTCTCCCCAAACCATCTTTGACAAAGGAGTCATCCCAGGTCATATTACACCAACAAAATTAAAATAAAAACTAAGAACTAAAAAAAAAAAAAATCTACCTGCCCATTTTCTACTTCCAACTCCTGCCAAAATGCCGGAGCTTTTTTTACCTTTTCATTCTCCCTCCCGCCCAGGGCAGGGGAAGGGAGAGGAGAGAGAATTTATTCTGCTCGGTCCTGCAGATTTTCAGGAACCAAATCCAAGTTTCACATCAACTCTTTTTTCTTCATCACAACAAACAGCCTTAAAGGGTTAGCAGAAACGCCAGCCTAGAGAAAACCTAAGCTGACAGTTTCTCCACATTCTCAACCTCTGACTTCCTAACACTACTACAGATGGTGGATCAATAAACAATTAGAATTGATCAATAAATAATAAAACATAACCCACTGCTTACCTTTGATGTACCAGGGCCCCTAACTGGTTACCTACTGTGGCAGAGAGAGAAAAAAGGAAAAAAAAATCAAAGCATTAGCACGGATAAACTAACTTCATCCCTATAGAAAAAGAGTTCTTACCATTTCATCAAAAAAGAAAGAAAAGCAAAACAGTAATTTAGGTTCAGTGGCTGAAATGAATGTGTTATGTGGTACAAAACAGGAGGGGATTTCTTGATCAACACACACCATAACCCAGTGTCCAGCTGAACACAGGATAGGGAATTGATCTGCGTCTCCCCATGCTGAGAGTCATGGGAGAAAATCCTGCCTGCCCAAATCCAAATCCCTGCAACTAACCTCCCCCCTTCCCAAATTAAGCCCAAAGTAGTAAAAAAAAGGAAAAAGGGGGGGAAGAGGGTGGGGAGAAGAGAAATTTCAAGCAGACTGGTATGCACTAAAAAACAAAAATAAAAGCTGAGCAGACTCGGAGATTTAGTCTCGGCAAAAAGCAATAAAGACCGCTTGCACATACTTCTCTCTGTCTCTCTTATCTGTGCTCCATGGAGCCCACTTACACGGAGACCTGTTAAAGGAATAGGTCTGTTAAGTAACCTTGTGGCACCCAAACAGCTTTTTTTTTTTTTTTTTTTAATAAACCACCACGTTTTACTGAATACACACATTCCAGGCATATCTGCGATGTTAGCTGGTGGTCCATTTATGATTAGCAGTTATCTCCCCAGCTGACAACCCCCAAACAGATTTCTCCCCCCACAGATTAGATCCTTCTTCCAAATGTTAATGGGGAAAATATCATTAGACCAACTCATGCAAAGTGGGAACACATGCCCTGCTGGGCTTCCTACTGGACTTTGCCTGCAGCAAACCAGCTAAAAACCAGACCATTTGGTCCTAACAACCAGTTGAAAGATTATATTGCATGCCTGGAGGGCACAAGTAGCGAAACAAATGAAACCGGCCAACATGTGAGCTGTGATAATAAAGATGCTGTTTCAAACTACCTTGCAGCAACCTGCACATTCTTTGACCTGAAATAAATTGGCAATCAGCTGGCAGGGTGAGAAAGCGGATGCATCCCACACTCTCCAAATCCGGCAGAAAAATGCATAAAGTTTGCAGCCAAACATTTTACTCAAATAAAATAGACAAAGAGAGTCAATACTGTATTTCTGCTGTGTGTCAATACCTTCATAATAATTCAGGACCAAAATATCGACAGCATATATATTCTATTACTCTCCCCACACTCAGTGATAAGACAACTGCTGCGTTATTGACTCCGTTAGATTTGTCTTTGCATATTCTCACCCTGAATATAAAAAGCTCTAATTTGATAACTATCAATACCGCAGTTGAAAAAGGTGGGTGATGTAACGGGGAATATTTGCTCTAGCTGATAAGCTACTACCGCAGAGCTGAGCAAATACGACCAAATTCAGAATCTCGCCATCTTGCCCCAAACTGTGCTCCGAGTATTTTTACTACGCGCGATAGGTCTGGCGGCTATTGCTGTAGTACGGGAGAATCGCCCTTGCCAAGGACCAGGCCACTCATTATCCCAAGACGCCAGAAAGAGTGCTCTTAACACTCCAAGGCTGTATTTAAATATCCACTTCGCATTTCAATTCACCGTAACAGCTCTCTTAGCAGTCTGTTCCACTGCAGCCGCTGCCCACAAATTATGAGACAGATACACATCCTATAATCAACTCCTGAAGTTCACGCAAGGAACGGAAGAGCCTTCATTTTGTAACACAATCCTACACTTGAAAAAGACAACTTCTTAGGGGAAAACTGTACCAGCGCAAGTTAAATCAGTCAGGGAAATAATGCTTTAGATATACATAACAATGTCTCCAACCCATTCCAAGTACTATACAAACATAGTAAGCCATTCACCACCCCAGACTGGTATCAGCCTTACTGTATATTTATTGTATAAATTGGTTAAAAAAATTAAGCTGCAATAACTTATGTGTGAGATCATTCCTTCCACATTTCACAAATAACCTCTCCATGAGCTGAGACAGAAGGCAGATGGAGAGAACTGGGAGTGATTTCCTTGAAGTCAGTTATGATTTCTCTCCGTTTTGGGGGAAAAAAAGAAACGGCACAGCTCCCGGTTCCAACAACCTACAGGTCCATTCCTTCTCCAACATGCCCATTTTGCTCTGAAAGACAGGGACTAATAGAGAGGCAGGGCTGGGGCAGACGGTGCTCGCTGCAGGACTGAAAGCTGATGTTCTGTTCCACCATCTCCCTCTTCACGCCAGGGAGGGGGCTGAACTCTTGACAAGCCACGTACATATTTCCCCCTTTTACATCTATTGAGTACAATTTAACTGTAACTGCAGTCATTTTACTGCAAATAAGGAAAAATACTGAATAAAATCAGCACAATTTCCTATTAATGGCACCTGCTGGTCGATAACTCTTCACTCTGCTTTAGGCTTCACCTTAACTGAATTCTACCTAACAGACACTCAAAACAAATGTGAATTTTTTTTCCACCCCATAAAACAGAGCAGTTCCTCCCACTAAATTAATGTGCATGATGGGAATATACAATCTCGTCACAAATATCTTCATGGCTAGAATAAAATCAGAGCGACGCATCTCTTGGAGAGCAGCGGAACAGGGTTGCATTTCATACTTTTGAACCAAAATGGGATCATCATAAATCTTAGAAAACTACGAGGAAGACATTAGTTACCCTAATTCTTCATCATTAAATATTGCTAAGCTTTTCTTTAATTAAATGGTCAAAACCTAATAATTTTCATGTCTGCCTTCACTGCAAATCTTTATAGGCTTTTTTGCCCTTCCTTAAACTGCCTTATTTAAAAAATGGTGATCTGTAAAGTTGAAGTTTGAAGAACATTGGGATTTTGTGTATTACACTAAAATACACAAATTATTACACTAAATTGCACTTTTTGCCGAGAGATTGGGACTTTTGCCCTGGTCCTCCTGCTGCTACAGATGTGTCAAGGAGCATCACTACTAACTTTCATCATCAGTAAGACAGGGATAAGATTTCCTTCTGCCTATTGCTATTTTCATTGAAAACATGTTGGAGCAAAAGAATAAAGTATTCTGTACAACAGGATCATGCTGTGTTTCAGCCCCTTGGCTCTACTACAATCAAGTTTTATTACACCAAAATAGGCTGTCTTCATATTTGGATGCACCACAGAAGCTTGGGGAAGGCAGGGGATGGAGAGAGGGGGGTGTGAGGCTTCTCCAAGGTCTCCCATCTTTCTTTCCACAGACTCAAAGGATGCCCCAGCCTTCAGCTGCAACACTGCTGCTTAACCCTACATATATCACTGGAAGCTTCTTCAAAGCGGTCCAAAACAGGGCAAACAAAGGCTAACGTTTTGGTGATCAGTCTCTTTCCAGCAGACTAGATCCCTGCTTCCTTTGAATAAGGAGGCTGTTTCTTTAAGGATTATTTAGCATTAAATAAACTTATTAAATTGTGCTGGTAATTAGAGGGACCCAATAATTACAATGGAGGCCAGGAGCACCCGTTAGCCATGCAGGAGGGCTGGGATCTATCCTCAGCAGTGAGCCATAAGCAAGATGCCACCAGGTCTCTGCAGCTCAGAGGTAACCTTATCTCCAGCGCTCACCTTCGCTGAGGAACATTAACTGCTGCAAGTGGCCACATAAATGCCAACTATGACTTACTGTGAGCAGTACAAATAAACCTGATCTCCTCTCTGCACTATAACTATTTGTAGGATTACTTTAAAGTTGTTTCCAGAAAGGGGAAATAAAGAAGCCGGGGAAAAAAGAAATAATCAGTCTCAAGCTCCATCTAATACGAATAGGCCAGGTCACCAGGGCGAATCCTAGCAGCTCCTCATTTCAGATGAAGGTTATGTTAAGGGAAGTGCAAAAGCCACTCACACATTCTGGTTTCCAATAGTATGACAAATCTATTTTTCCTGGAAATGCTCTAAAAGCAGCTGAATTTGTTTTGACCAGCACGCCGTCACCCTGTCTTAAGAGCACTTCCTAAGCTGACATCAATCAGCCACGCCAGCATCTGTTTACAGAAACGGACAGGCAGATTAGATTTTCCTGAAAGACAGACAGTTTTCTTGTCACCTTAAATACTTCCCCTGAACCCAATTTTTTCAGGAGTATTAGGGACAGAAGTAATTTTCTAACAGCCACATGGGGATATGGAAGCAGTGAGAACTGCACCCAGCCGTGAACATGCAGTATACAGAAGTAAACAATCAAACGATTTACCACCAGATTTGTTTCCAAGCTATCCAGAGCAGCAGAATGCATCCAAACCCCCGCACTATAAAGTTTCTAGAGCATGCGTAACAATATAAATAATCGCTTCTTGACAACAACATCTCCAAACCGTTGTCTACGGACAAGCAGAAAAATGGAGAAAAGTGTGGGCACGCAATCCCAACATCCCGGGTTCGCAGCTAACAGAGGACTAAAAGATCATCCAAATGGGAAGTGCTTTCCTAATTTAAGTGTCCTATTAAAAACAACTGCCATCTTCCAGATGCCTAAAGCCAAAGCTGCATTAGACTTTTAACGCCATGGCAGCAAGAGCAGGTAGCCCAAGACTGACTAAGGTGTGGCTCATACCACAAACAAATACAGAGCAAGAAGCACTCGCTACTTCAGGAGTGCCTTGGCCAGGCTGCAGTTCTGGGGATGCAGTTAAAGAGCAGCGCAGGAGGATTATGTGGTTAGGTGGGGAACTCATCACACGGTTGTATTTCAGTACAGGATTTACTAATGCCATTAGAAATAAAACCCAAGATAACCAAAGCTGAAAGAAGCGATACAACCCTTGCTCCTACCCTGAGAATTCTGTTTTCTTCATGAAATTCCAGCTCTTTAAAATATTACTTCCATCATTTCTCTTCTCCTCTAAGATCTCACAGATCAAATTTTTGGGAAGGGAGTTGAACAAAGTTATAACATCTACAGATGTATATGAAGAACCCAAGGGCAAATACAGCGCTCGGAGCTACTTTTAAAAGTTACAAACACGACCCAGTGCTGAACAAGCACCCAGGGTGAGCAAACACCCGTAGGTCTTTGCATCAGCAGAACAACTGCCAGTGCAACACTCAGAGTACAGCCACTCTGGAGGCTCTCCCAGGAGCGATACCTGCTCCGTGGAGTTACCTACCACAGCGCAAGAAACCAGCAGTAACGTACATTTATAGCCCAGGCTCCAACTGCATCGACACGGTTTGTGTCAACACAAACAAGGCTCAGCAAGTAACAGGGCTCACCAGTAAAAGTTTAAGTACAAAGTCTAACTTGCGCTGTCATTAAGCGCTATGACCATTTCACGTGTTAAAAGTTCATAGAAACCCATGCCGTCAAGAGGTCAGATTTCTCGGTTCAGTCTGATGGATCAATGAAAGAAATAGATAGGACTACTGTTATGAATGACCCGTTCCTAGAAGGCTCCTTTTGTTCTTTTTCACATGCAGCCACTTATCTAAGCCATTCAGACACAGCTCAAAGTTGCTCAGCATTCTTCAATGCTGAACAGCCTGCTTGACAGCCGAGCACCTTCCCATACAGAAACCAACACATACCAGTAATACCAGGCCTCTGGCTTCTCACAGACACGGTGATGCTCCAGCCTGAGATAGAAGGCGCAGGGGCTCACCCAGATAAACCCATTCTTTCCTAAAACACCAAACCAAAGGAGCAGCAACCTCTTGCTCAAACACAGCCAACACCAGAGAACAAAGTGGGTTGTGGCACGTGTTCAGAAACCAGTAATGTTAGCAAGCCAGAGGCTCCACATGAAAGAAACTTCTCCCCGTGCTCCAGCACGTTTTTTCAGCACGAGAAGTGGACATGCAGTATTTTCAGCCTTTGCCCCACACAGCTTTGTATCAGACAGAAAAAATTATTTCCAAACGAAGTGCTAGGCAGCAGCTTTGCTTATCTCCTCACTACTCCTGAACATATGGGGGGGGGAGAGAATCACCTTGCAGGGCTACTTGTGTCAGTAATAATACTAAAGGAAATAGGAAGACAGCCACATTTTTTTTTTTTTATAACCAACCACAGGAAAAGGTGAGCTCTTTGCATCCATACAGCAGCAGCTAATAAGTTTAAACACTTCTTGTAACAGTGCACATCATTAGATTTGTAAAAAAGAAAACACCTGTTCTAACATTCTTGTTGTTCCCACCAAAGATAAGAAACTAATAACTTATTTTAAAATTGTCACACTTCATACAGTATTAACTCATTACAGCTCCCAGATATGGTCCACCCAGTAAATTATTCTTTGGCTGTGGCCAACATTAAATGCTTCAGAGATCTAAGAATCCTCAAAGAATAATTATGAAAAAAGCTAAGCCTAATACGGGAAGTTTCCTTCCAACTTGCATCAACACCCCTTCTCCTTAAAATTCATGTACAAAGCGATCAGAACTCTTGACAGTGACTCAATTACTGTGCTGTGGCCATTGCTACACTGGGAAAGGAGCACACGTAACACTGTCCCTATACACTGTATGCTCTCAGAAATTAAGGTCATCAGGGACAAACAGCTTTACTACATATATCTGGTACCCTATACCAGGACCCTATACCAGGCTCCAGCACAGTTCCAATAAGCACATCCTCCTCCCTCCCTCCCCCCAACTACCACAGAACAAGATTTAAATTAGAGTTCTTTTGCTAATACCCAAAGTTCATTAACTAAGAAAGAATTGCTTCACATTAATAATACTAATGCCTAGGAGCCCTGTGCTATCTAGATAAGACTAAACAGCACAGGGAATGCTGTATAAAATTTCTATACACTGAAAGATGCATTGATTTCTGTCCTTAAAGCAGACAACTGCCTCCATAGATGCATTTCAGGAGCTGCATCCACAAGATTGACTAATCGTAACCAGCTTACCTCCGTCATCCAGGGGCCGTTTCTGCACTCCATAACCGTAGACTGATGGGTCCACAAGTGTTGTGGAATTATTCAAGTGAGGAATATCTCCAATTTTAGCAGCAATCTATAAAAATAGAGGATAAAAGCATGATTAGCATACCTGAAGTTTCAACCACCACAGCTAAACATGCTTTCGTCCAATAAGGCATTTACCCCAGCCCAATCTTCTCTCAGCTATTTTCTATATAGGTGGCTTTATAAGAGTTCCAAGACAGAAGTGCTTCATTTGTAAAGGAAACAATTTTCTGCTTGCTATTGATATTTGTTTAATTAAGATCGCATTCACCCAGTTCCTCTTCCTGATCATAAGCAGGTATTTACTCCCTGGAACATTATATTCAGGTTTGTTCACTCAATGGACAGCTGACAAGCTGTATCTTGCAAGGAGGAGAGTTAAACAAGCTCACTAGCTTTGTCCTGGAGAAGCTGCCTCCACCATAGCTGTGTAGGAGGACACACGCTTCCTCCTGCTGCCGTGCATATCCTGATACATAGCAATGCATACTTGCACATCAGTGGGGGGAGTGGAGGGAGAAGAATGTGAAAATACACAGCACAAGGACAGGTTTGGGAACTCCTTGTCAAAGAGACTGGATCACCCTGTGTTTACTGTACGAAGAATAAGCCAGTGGGCAAACTATTAGCCCAGAATTAGTTTCCATTTCCTGCAGCCGTCAATACAGCACAAACACGACTAATGCTGCCTGTGCCTCTGCTTCCATCCCTTACAGAGGGATAACAGCCATTCCCTGCTGAGCCAGGATGCAAGGAGGATATTTACAGGAAAGAGGAGACAGTCAGGTATCACAGTAAGGGGACTAAAGTAAGCAAATAAACCAGGTGAGAGAGAGATCTAACCACCACTTAATAAAAGTGAAAAGTTAAGCTCGTCTCTAATGACATTTGGGAGACATCTATACAGATGGATGCTGACAGAAGGGAGCTGTCTCACCTGCTCTCCAAGCTAACTGATGCAAGCCCACTCTAGAACCATACAGGTGCGTTACTTCAGTGCTGCACCCCAGTTAATACCCCCTTCAGGGCCAGGCAAACTGCAGGCTCACGGCACCCCTTGCCTACATAAAGTACTTTGCTATAATAAGCAAGCGCAGAACAAAGCGGTTACAGAACAAATATAAAGCACGGCGTATTCTACAGCGTTTGCTTCCTTTTCCAGCAAAAAGAAAATCATTGAATAGGATCTTTACTAGGAGTCTGATCTCACTCTATTATAACTGGGATTTCACCAGAGAATAAGCAACAGGAACAGATGAAAGAGCATTTTACACAGATACGTTTTAAATGAAGAGAAGGGCAAATGACAAATATAACTAAAGGTGTTTCTAAAATTTGAGTTTTACTGCAAAAGAAAGACATCTACAGTAACTCTGGTTGTTGACACTATCGGCTGCTGCAGTGGAATAAACAATTGCCCAAGATTCAGAACCACAGGGTACTGAAAAAAAAAAAGCTATTTGACATAATCTTGAAAGATTGAGGGCACTGCTTTTAGAAAAAGAATAGAAAACATTCTCTTCAATGCCTTGCATGAAAAGTGCTCCAAGTTTTGACCATTTTCTTATCATAGCCCATTCCCTCCCGTCCTCTTTTAGAAAGTCAACAACTTTGTTGTGTCAAAAATCCCAGGAGCTAGAGAACAAAGTCTTCCTGCAGGACCAGCACAGCGATCGTGTAGCAAAGCTTGGCTGACAAGCACCTTGCCTATCAACACATCCAAAAACTAATAAGCCCATAGAAATCTGATTCTGAAAGCATTAACACCGACTACCCCTTGTCCACTCCACACTAGAGAGTGCCAGGTAACGCCTTGCTTTTTGACTGAAAGCTGTACTGCATCCACGGTTCCTGCCCTTTGCCCCCATGCCTTCCCCTTATGTTTGGGATGCAGAGGATTTTAACAAAGGTACAAAGAGCACAAATGTTTCCTGACTACTTCAATGCTGAAAAATAAATTTAAAAATACATTTTATAACGATTACAAGCTTTCACATAATAACTTACAAACGTATGCCAAAAGGAACAGTGTCAGGTATAACATACCCTGGCATGTTTTGGAACATTTGATTTTAACATGCCCTTTATGAACTCTCTTTCTGTTAGTGGTTATTTACTCGAAAAAATCTGTAAGTTGTGGAAGCTGCTAGCTGACAGGCTGAAGCTGAAATCACACACAACACGCACAAGGGAAAGAAAAAAAATTGTCTGTGGATAGCAGAAGCTGGCCTACAAAAGGAAGCTAGCACAAAGCACAAGAAGAGATCACCAGCACTAAGGCTGACTGCTCCCAGAGCAGGAGAGCTTTGCAAACCCCTACTCGTGCTTAGCACACAATTATCGCCCGGGCACAGAACCCTCCAAGTAAAGGACAAAAATAAGAGAGTCAAATCAATTTTTACATTATCAGCTTTTGGGATGTTTTTCTCTTTTTTTTTTTCTGCTTTATTTAAACTTGCACCCTTATCTCTAAAGCCTCCCAGCTGCCACTGGATTACAGGCAGACAACACGCCACCTTGCTACAACAGGAAAAAATACCCTGCAAAATTAACTTGTGCTTTTTAAGTAGATGTAGCAGTTAAAATACATTTTAACTTCTTATGTTCAACTTAAAATGGGAACCTGTTTTTTTACTATAGGT